TTTCTTTTTATCTACAAAAGTTATTATTTTATTTAAATTAAAGGGCGTATTCGGCAGCATTGTAGAATTTGGGAATTGTTAGATGTATGCAACTTTACCTTACCAGCAGTGAGGCTATTTTCGCATTTAAATTAAGAAAAAAAAATGTATTATGTCTCATGATGTAGTTTATGTACACTTATCAAATGATTATTATCATGGTTTAGGCATGTTGCCATGTCCTGTGGATAAAGTTGTGTAACTGTGAAAAAGTTCAATATGAGCCTTGATTGCAACTCTCGTCTATTATACTAAAGAAATTCATAGCTGCAAAATAGTTTTTTTTTTTTATTAAATCTCAAAATATTATATTATTGATTGAATAATTTGTAGTTNTTGATTGCAACTCTCGTCTATTATACTAAAGAAATTCATAGCTGCAAAATAGTTTTTTTTTTTTTATTAAATCTCAAAATATTATATTATTGATTGAATAATTTGTAGTTCATAGGGCTGACCCAAGAATATTTGCGGCCCAACGCAAAAATTGTAGATGAGGTCCTAAATTATTTTTAGATGAATAGTTTATTTNTTCATAGGGCTGACCCAAGAATATTTGCGGCCCAACGCAAAAATTGTAGATGAGGTCCTAAATTATTTTTAGATGAATAGTTTATTTATTTTTATTTTTAAATTTTAAATATTTAATTTTATATCTTTTAGTAAGTATATTTAAAGTGAAAAATAACATGAAAAACAAATGCATTATGTAACTAACTGATTATATTATATTAAAATTAACTTAACTTAAGAAATTATAGATCAAGAAAATAAAATTGAATAAATAAGTTAGAGTTGTTATAAATTTAGATAAAATAAGAGCGTATAGTCTTATAATTTTGTGTGCAAAAATATAATGCGGTAATTTTTTTTTTTTGAATGTATATATATTTATGATTTGAAGAAAAATATTTTTGATCATTTTACGAAACATCCAAATTTTTTTTATAAAATTTATTCCTATAATTTTGTAAGACATCTGCAAATGGGCCCTAGGCCACCACTTCACTTGCCTAGGGGTGGAGTTATATATGGTCAAATCCTAATTGTTCT